CATCTCTCAATTTTACCTCTTGATTTTGTCTTTCACCTTTTCTGTGAATTACTTACTCCACTGACTTCAGCTTTTATTTATCTTATTTTCTGAAAAAACTGCATGGTTAACATTATCAATAGCTCTGTTATAATTTCACAAATGTAAAGCAGAAGGGGGTTTTGTACTTAGTTTTTCTGCATGATTATTTTTTTCTAAATTAATTTTTGGATCCAGTATTTTCTTTTCTTGGCCTGTATATACTTATGTATTTTTGGTGTGGGTGATATGCTTTTTTCCATGCTATAGGATGTGATGGCTATAGCTCAATAAGCCTTAAATTTCTGTGGTCTTAGTTTTTGGGTAGTTACTTAGGTAGGATTTTTGATCCATCCCACTGCAGTAGTTCCGCTCTCCCATATTTTCTATTTAAATGAGGGCAAATAGGTAGCGATATTGTTATAGATGCTAGTTATTTTTTGGATTTTCTGCTGTGATATTATCTGGCCCTGGAGCTTTTGCTTTTTCTTAGTGTTTTTTTCTAAGTCTTTGTTCACTTGTTATTTCATTTATGGAGAAACCAGTCGACAGGGGGGTGGCGAGGTTTGTAAATATGTTTTGTTGGTAGAGTCTTTCCGTGAATGATAGACTATCATATAACAATCAAGCCAAAATGCCTTTTGTTTAATCCTGGCCAACAATTACTTTTCCATTTTCCTAAAACTTACGGAGCTGGTTCCTATTTCTGCGTCATAGTTTCCTTTCTCTCATATCGTTATCACTATCAAAGACCTTTTTCGCTATATAATCTATCTATCACTCCATAGAGTATTTTTGTTTCTCTGGAAAAAGGAAATAATAACCGTTTGTTGTGTGGTGTTCGTTGCTGGATAGTCATAAACCGATTACTGACTAGTTTTTGCCTATTCACTGGAATTTTCACCTTTTAAACAATTTGTGGTAAACCCATTTTAGCTTTTCCTTATTTTCATGAATAATTTCTAATCTCAATGGATATGAACATATTCTCAATTAGTTCTAAGTAACTATCAAGGCTTACATTAGATGTTAAACTTAAAATTAGCCACCACCCACCCTTAAAGTAATTAAATTATTTTGGCAGTTCATGGGTATAGGCTTTTGTTTTTGCCCATTTCTTTTGTTGATTAGCCTATAGACGTTTAAGCGACAGTTCTCGGACTGTTGCGCGTACAAGTACGTGCGGCTAGCCCACAAACGTGTGAAGGGCTCCTCATTTTTTTCTCCCCTAAATTAACTATCCAGTTTGGTGGATTTTGAGGAAAACCTAGCGTAGCTCTGTTGTATCCACAACCAGAGGGCGAAAACGCTTTTATCACGTATCACGTATCACGTATCACGTAAATTCAATTGAAATCATATATTCGATGAAAATAAGCAAAATTTCATTGCAATTTTTTTATAAATTAACAATAACATATAATAAGAAATATAATAGAAAATTTAATTTTTGGTTGTATTCAGTTAAAATAAAAAGAAATTAAATGAAAATAAACAAAATTATTATAATATTTTCTTAAATTAGCAATTACATATAATATGCATCTATTGTTAAATTGATATAATATTTATAAAACACTTTTAGAATCTTTTAAATTATTTTATTTATACATGTTAGCGGCAATGTGTTTTTTCCGGCAATGTGTTATTTATTCAACTTTAAATCATTTTTTGAGCACGTTTTTTTTTAAATATAAAAATCTGATTATACAGGAAATATAATCGAGTATGTTTAGGATATCTATCTTATGAATTGTAGATAATTTTACCGTTAACTTTTGAATAATTTATAACTTATATGAAAAATTTGGTATATTAAGTTCAAAAGTTCATAACAAAAATACCTGAAATTCATAGGGTAAGTATTTCCAATAAAATCCGATTTTTAAATTTAAAAAAACGCACTCAAATACTAATTTATAGTGAAAATATAATACTTTGCCGGAAAACATTGCCGCTACTAGTGTGTCTAAATAATGGTTTTACACGACCACGATTAAGTTTTTAGTCGAAAAAATGAGCCAAAACATATACAACCTAATGTGTCGATTTGGTCGACAAAATCCATAGACCCGAGCATCAACTAAAACAAACTAATTGATATAATATTTTATTGTAAATATTTTATCATATTTAAATGCATAGAGGACGAATCAATTTTAACAGAAATAATTATCTTTTTTAAAAAAATTGTTCTTATCTTAATCTGGAAAGATTTAAGATTTTTACTTTACACTAGAAACTCCAGTTTTGATAGATAAACCAATTTAAAAACTAGAGGATGAGGAGAGGGGGGAATTTAAATTTTGATGATTTAATACGAATTAATATAGAATTTTAAAATTAATAGAATATTAAACCTTTCATTATATTAAACAAGGTGTTGATGAGTCATTTTCTCACTTTTCTTGCTACCTTTAATAGGCTTAATTTAGAATTCAGGTTTATGTTTGAAAAATTCAATTTTTCTAAATATTGGCTTGGTAGTATTTTTTTTGAAATAAAATATGGAGCTATTTTTCTAGCTAAAATATTGAGTTCGCTGTTATTTAAAAATCGATTCAAATTTAGTCATTTAACAACATTGAGCAATTTATAGTAAATTTATACATCTTTTTAAATATATTAATTTTTTGAGTGACCGGCTAAGCAGCGTTGTTTCTAGTCAAAATTTTGGGTTACTGAAAAAAAAGAAAAATCGATATAATAATTTTATTTAATATATTTTTATTTTACTTAGTGCCATCTAGCTGGCACCCAGATTATATAATAAAAATTTAAATAATAAAAAAGGAATTATATTATTTATTTTAACATTGTTATAAAAATTTGTTTTAACACTAATATTTTAATAACTTTTTATTGTGATAATTATTCGATCATTATTAAATTACATTGTAAAATTCTTAAGATTATTGTATTATGATATTTTTAATAAAATTATTAAATACAATTTGGTGTGTTCTTCTTACATTATTTGTGATTTACGAGAAAGGTTTAAATAAAAGTTAAGATAAATAAGTTAAGAGTAAGATATTTATTGGCAGTATATTTTAGGTATGGCATCTTGCCTTAAGTGAAATTTGTTATTAGTTTTGGGCTATTCTTATTTCGCAGTTTTTTATGAGCTTCTTAAGTGTATTGGAATCATCATTCAATATTTTCTATAAATTTTTTTAAAATATTCTTGTCCACACTTTTATAAATATTAATATACTTTTTAAAACTAAAATTTGTTTTTTCTAATTTCATTTTTATTTATAAAATATTTATCATCCCATTTTAAAATTCTTTTGCTACTTTTTTATTAACATTTAAATAAAAGGTATGATTTAGTCGTTGCTTTTTCATCTAGTGTTATAAAATACCCCGATTTGGGTGGATTTTTGACAACCCATTTAAGGTCTTAGCCAAATGAATATCATGAAAGTCTAGAGATTATGCTCTTTGCTAAATCTTGAGGCTTACATAATATTATTTTGGCTAAAATCTTAATCAGGCCATTTTTAAAAATCGACCTAAATCGCGATTTATTAAGATTAGTTTCATAGACATAAATGTATTTAAGGTGTGTTTACCCTAAAAATAATTGTTCTGCAGAACATACTTATGGGAATTGTTCATAGCATTTAATAAATTTTGCACATTATGAACTAATGAAACTCCTTTCTTTGTTCTTTTATTTTGGTCATGATTATTGTTAAAAAGCCAGATTTTATATTTAAAAACAATCTGATTAAGATTTTGGCCAAAATAATATGATGTAAACCTCGAAATTTGCTAAATAAATATCCAAACTTTTTTGCCATCTATGAGCAAAATTTCGAGGCTTTCATAATATTATTTGCCTAAATCTTAATTGGGACTTTTTTTAAATCGACCTAAATTGGGATTTTCAACAATACTATTAATGATGTCCTAAGAGTTTGTTCTATATTTCTCCAACTTTGATTAATCCAAAAATATGTCTCTATGAAGAATTAGACTATCCATTTCAAAATCATCTCATCATATCCATAAATTTTTGAATCGCAAATTGCTCTATATTAATTAAATAATCCATTACCGGTTTGTTTGAATCGATTTTCTATATTTGCAATTGTGCAATCAAATAATAAATTTGTCTATGATGGTCACTAGCTGATTTGAAATAATGGCATAATAAATTGGAGACTTCTTCGAATACATCTTTTTCTGTCGCTTTAAAGTGTAATCCTCTAAATTTAATTCCTTTAACTTTAAATTCAGACCTTCCCCAAGAACAAGATAACCTTTATTAGAAATTATAAATAAATTTTGCATTGAGATTGCTACAAATCAAAATATTAATTATACTTGAAAAATTATAATTTTTAAATGCAGAAATCCAAAATTCAACAATACATTTTCAAAATGTTTAATACAAAATAGAAATCCTGATTAAAATTATAAGCAATACGACTTTTGCTCAGTATTTTAGCGATATTATTCGCTACACCAGAGTATCAGGGTATAATGGACTAAAAGAAGTTGAACTATCATTTTTATCTTGGATGAAACAAAATATCTTCATTGTTTAGGATAATCTCGAACAAAAAATCCCAAATTTTTATCAATAGATTCAAATGAATCTTGTACCACCAGATTTAATGTATGAGAAAATTCATAGCAATATAGAAATAATATATTAACTAGTATTTTTTTCTCTCTTTATTTTATATTTGGATGAGATATAATAATTTCTCAAATTTTCTAGCTTCTATAAAGTCAGAACTTATGGATTAAAGTATGGCATATCTGGCACTATTTTTCCAACTAAATCGTCAAAAGTCAAGTTACTGAAAAACTATTATATTATCGGACAAATAGAGTTAATTAAAATAATTAGATTTATGACAAAAATAAAATATTAAAATAAATGGATTAATTTGACTGTTTAAGATGGTATTATAAAAATTTAATGAGGAAGAAATTAATGATTAAATTATAATTTTCAATTTTAATTTGGTTTTAACAAACGCGACCAATATTCTATCTTTAAAATCATATAAGAAATGCGAATAAATAAAACAGATGATATATTGAATACTACAAATGATAAAGGTAATATAATTAATATATAAATCCTTATTTTCCATTTATCTTATGTATTGTTAAATATATTTAAAATTTAATTAGAATCTGATTTGAATAATGCCATGGAAGTGGAACCAAATCAGGAATCTAATGAAAACACACCTAAAGCTAATATAGATGATGAATTTGATGAGAATGGTAAATCATATTTTGTAATTACAACTAATATCATTTTTTATTTTGATACATCGCAGATTATAGTAGGCCACAAGCCACATTTCAGTTTAAGATTGAAAATTTTAGTAAATTCTCAAAGCAGGCATTATCACCACCTTGTTACATTAGAAACTTACCTTGGTTTATTAAAAAATAAATAATATTAATATCATTTACATTTTATAGGAAAATTTTAGGTCTTGTAAGAACTCAAGAAAGAGTTTCATCTGTCAGTAAATTCTTAGGCTTCTTTTTGCAATGCAATGCTGAAGCTGAATCACAGTATATAAAATAATTAAACAAGCATATATTTATTTTACAACTATTTTTAATATATTTTTTAATAACATAAATGAATAATATTTTATAAAGAACTTGGTCATGTCATGCATCTGCTGTATTAAAGGTTTTGGCTCAAGACAAAGAAAAGGGAGTTGATTATTGCAAACGTATTACATAATTTATCAATAACAAAAATTTAATCATAAGTCTAATACTAAGAATTAACAATTTATTTAGATATTTTTGTTTACAGTAATAGATATTATGCAATTTTATTATTAATAATTTTGTGTTAAATTTAATAAATATTTATTATTATGTACTAATATTTATTTATTTTTTTAAAAATGCTACAGAAATATCTCACCTATTCTATGTTAAGGAGAATGATTGGGGATATAATCAATTCATGTCTTTTAAAGTAATTTTTATATTTCATAACTATTAAACTTACCTGAAAACAAGCACTTAAACCTTATAATTAATTTGATTTTCGTATTATAATAATGAAGCTTTAATTAACATACTTATAAAATTCCAAATAATTAATCATAAATAGGATATAGAGATCTTGAAATTTTATAAAGTTTGATTAAATGAATAAACTATTCAAATGAAACATATACATATACATTTAACTTTGAATTGTAAGAATTAACATATGATATTATATAATGGAGTTGATATTTGTGAGGACTATTAAAGTATTATTTTTTAAATTTTAGGAATCTTTAATTTAATATAATTAATTTTGTCCAAATATTGATTGGTAAAAATTTGTGACAATTTGTGGATCATCACATTCCTAATTTTGAAATGCAAACATTACAATCAGAGATGTATTAAAGTTTTACACAGATTAGAGACATTCATGGGCCAGGCTAGCCCATACACTTATTGTATCTTCTAGTGGGCCAGACCTGGGGTTTAAAAAAATGGGCTTGTGTCTGAAAATAAAAATTCTAATAATTAAATTAAGTATTGCAAACAAAATGTAGCATTAATACATTAAATATATTTTTGGATAAGGGCTTAGGCCAGATAGGGTTAGCCAGTTTCTCAGCTGATCCCCTTTTCATTTTTTTTACTATCTTGGGTTCACTATTTGATAGATCCATATTTATCCGTTTATCACTTTCACCTACTTTGTCCTATTGTTGCCAGTTAATTGTAATAGCCCAATACTTGGTAATATCAGTACTAGTATGAGCCGTTTTAAAACTGCTAACTCCATATTTTATCTAGAATAATATTATGCAAGCCTGAAGATTTTGTTTGTAGATGGAACAAAGGTTTGGATATCTATTAGCAAAATCTCGAGGCTTCAATATTTTTCTGGCTAAAATGTTGAGTTAACCGTTTTGAAAAATTGGCAGGAACTAGTGTTGTTAAAAAGCCCTATTTGGGTCAATTTTTCAAAACGGAACTAATTAAGATTTTAGCCAAAATAATATTGTGTAAGCATCGAGATATGGCAAATAGATGTCCACCAGCTATGTGCAAAATCCTTAGGCTTACATAATGTTATGTTTGTTATGATCTTAAATGGGCTTTTTTTAAAAATTTACCCAAATCAGGCTTTTTAATATAATCAGTACAAGTGAGCAGGTTGTATCAGTGCATCCTTGATAACAATAAAAGGGGTAATTCCATGCCACATTAGTGGGAAAAGGGAATTTTCAGCCTACCATCTTGTTTCCGATAAAAAAAAATAGTACGAGGATTTAATGATTCATAGTTACTATTAATTAAAAACTAAAATAAATTTGAATATTAAGTTTGCTACTTGTGACTAAGTAAAAGATTGTTAATTAGGGAGAAAAACTTAACATTTCTTTTTATATTACATTAGACACTATATGTTCATTGGAAAGTATAAAACTAAATTTTTGGGACTTCCAATTTTTGCAAATTTTTTATTTTTACTTATTAACTGAGTTTTTCCTTCACTAACTTTTGATGTAAACCAATATTTACAATAATTAACGCAAATAATATGTCAAAATTAAAGATGACTATATATTCCAATGCAGAATTTTTCATTGTCTTTATGACATTTAAAGAACTAAATGATTGATTTATGGAAAAAAATTTTCCTCATAATTTATCAAACCTAATATTCTAATTGATTTTGTTTTTAATTAGCAACTAATTATTTAAAATCCACAATAGGCAAATTAAAATGGCTTCTTTTGCACTTTTAATCCCTAATAATATCTCTGGTAATTTAAATGCTATCGAGTTTTAATTTTGTTTTGCTGATCTAGTTAACATCTATACTCTGCATACAGAAATGAAAGAGATGGCCAAGAGGCACCTGATTTGATATGGAATGACCCATAATTACTATTTTTTAATAATTCTCTTATTTTGTGATAGGAAATGTTTACTGTAAAAAAATGGGGCTAGTTTATGGGACATTTAAAAATTTGCTTCATGAACTTTATTTCAAATGAACCCGTTTAATTTTTTTAAAATAATCAAATGGGGTAAGGGTAGACCTGTGCGCTGGTTTGGTTATGCCGAAAATGCCGCCGTTTAAGAAAATCACAGCGGCGCACAGCCGGCACAGAAATTTCTTTCATATTTTATACCTTTTTATTCTAATAATTGGTCAACATCACTCTTGTAATTTTTTAATGTCAATCAGGAATTTGATGAATTTTTATTTTCTACTATTTTAAAATCATAATTATATTGACTCATTATAGAATTCAATCAATCAAAAATCTAAAATTCCAAAAGTTACCATAATTTTACATATTTTTAAAATGGATGTATCTACATTTAATAATTCTATAAATAATTTTAGTATCCTAACTCTGGATGATAAAAAATCCATAGTCTGGAAATTTTTTGCAAAAGAATTAGGGAAATTATTACTGCTCTAAGATATAAAATTGCAGAAGTTGAATTTTAATTCTAGGAATATCAAAGAAAATGTCTAAGTACATTAGATTTAACATCAGACATGTTAGATCTTGACAGCATTGATCCATACCCGAGTACCCGTTTTCAAATTGGCAATTCCAATGATAATAATAACAGTAATTCCACGTATATGAAAACCTAAAAATTAAATGTCCCAAGCCCAACACGTTGGCATAATATATTAATTATGCTAGAAAGCATATCTTGATTAAATAAGGTTTTAATTAATAATGTTTTGAAAAGAATTGGGAAGCACTTTCTCAAATTATGAATCTGATCTGATAGAAGAACTAATAGCATTTCTTTCAAAATTTAAAGAAACTGTCGAATTTCCTTCAGTACAAAAAGGGCCTACTTTAAACATGGCGTTACTTTTTAGAAGTGAAATTGAAACACATTTAATAGTTAATGATAGTGATAGTTCTGAAATTATTTCACTTAAGGAAAATATATTAAAAAAACTTGCATTACGATTTCCGGTTTGTAATCTGCAAATAATATTAAATAAGTATATACTTTATTTTTTATTTAAAATTATCTAAGTATTGGCTTCTCTTTTAGATCCATGATTTTAAAAATTCAATTGTGTCAAAGTATTTAATAGAGCAAAATTGCTCAGCTTCAGAATTTATAATAAAACATCTTAAACTTATAGAGAATGATGATAATCAGGTAGTAAATATAGCTAATGAGGATGAAGATGAATTATTAAATTCAAGTTATTTGACAAAATTGGCAAATAAACATTCAACAAATATAAATTATGATTCCAAGTTAGGTGACTTAGAACAAGAATGCCACTTTCTTGGAAAACGACATTGACAAGATATGGATGTTCTAAATTTTTGGAGAGAAAAGAAGAGTGAACTTCCCAATATTTCCAGTCTCGACAAAAAAAATCTTTGCATTCCGGCGACTAGCACATCTAGTGAAAGAATTTTCTCTACCGCCGGATTGACGTTAAATTCAAGGAGATCATCATTATGTCCCAATAATTTAAATAAAATAATTTTTATACATGATAATTATAAAATTACGAAATCGATTTTGGATTTATATTGAGTTTTCTATTAAATGAATATTAAAAAATATGCCGAGATATCTTTAGAATAGTGTATATTTATTTGTTTTTAAAAAAAAAATTAATAAGCAATTAAAAAAAATTATGTTATAAAAATTTATAACTGCGCCGATTTTATTGACAGCCGCTAAATATCGGCGCGCCGCCAGCCGTCGATTAGATTTTTGAAAATTGCGCCGGTCGCCGATAGTTTTGTCGGCGCACAGGTCTAGGTAAGGGTGAAATTAAATAATTTTATTTTCAAATTTACGTTTTTTAAAGGAACTCATGGACCCCGAAAAGGGTTATTACAAAGATGATAGCATCATTCTAGAAGTAAGCGTAAGGGCCGAAGCACCCCACGGGGTAAGTTGGGACAGCAAAAAGCATACGGGATATGTCGGACTTAAAAATCAAGGGGCAACTTGCTACATGAATTCCATCCTTCAAACCCTTTTCTTCACCAATCAACTCAGGAAGGTTTAATAATTATTAAAAATTAAAAAATGAATGTTATTATCTTGAGATGAGTGAAAGCCACAAAACCAATTGGAAAAGATTTTGTAAATAAATCGTCAACCTTTGCCTTTTGAAACGCTGCATTGAAACGTTCAATTTGTGTGCAGTAATGGTTTATATGGAATTATAGATTTCTGCCAGCTCATTTTTTTTTATCGATTTAGCAAAATTTATTTCGTCAGGCTTGTACTTCCATTCAAAATCTTGTGTGGAGATGAGATAATTTTATCTTAATTTTTCTGCCCTATCTAAAAATGAGGAAAAGTAAAAGGCTTATTGTTATAATTATTGTTAAACCCTAACCTATTATAATGATTTATGGAAATCAAATGTTCTTTTATTCACGAAAAATGATATAGGTCATGTATATATTTTGTTAACCAATAAATATAAGCTCATTAATAAATATATTGAAAATTTCTCAATGATAGTTAATAATAATTATTTTTTAAATCTAATTTTTATGAGTTGCCAAATAAATTTATATTGATAGAATAGATTAAATTCGATATGGTCAGGTTTAAGAAAGTAAGAAATAAAATTTGGAAAAAAGAAAGACATCTCTAAGAAAGACAAATTTTAAAATTAAAAAAAAAGGAATATTTTAATCATTCAATCATAAAAAAAGGACGTGTACCAAATTCCGACAGAAGGTGATGCCGCTGGAAATAGCGTGGCATTAGCCCTACAAAGGGTATTTTACGAACTCCAAACATGTGATAAGCCTGTCGGCACCAAAAAAGTCACCAAATCTTTCGGGTATATATTTTTCTCAAAAAAATGTTAATATATATTACAAACGTTATATGCCTGGTATGGGTTAATGAAGACTTAACCAGGTATCATATGCATAATAGAGGTTGGAGCAATAAGTGGATGGGATGAAATTTATTAAAACAATGGACGGGCGTCGTAAAAAACTTGCCCATTAAAGACCTCATACATATTTGCGTGTTGTCTGTTGTATGAAATGGCGAAGGGGATACGAATCACCATTTTGTTAATGCAATCAAGAATATCAACCTAAATTTACGAGAAAGGGGGTGAACTACAATTTATTACAAGTGCTTTCACATTTGAGCATCATTTATTTGTGATAACTTTATCTCATAGAAGTGCTACTATATAAGATGAGATTTTTGTAATTTCAATCAATCAGATAACTAAGTCGGAATGGAGGGGGGTGGGAGTTGACGATACTGTGATTGATCAATGGTATATTTGTAAATTCCTGATAATAGTTAATATTTATTCCTTGAATTATTATATTATTATTTTTATATATTATGAAAGTGCTTAAGGGATGGGGTGAAATTTTAAATTTTAAAAGACGTAAATTTTATAATGACAAGTTAAGAGATACAGTCATAATTATTGTTTACATAAATGTTTTTTTTTCTTCTCATTTATAAGCTGGGAAACCTTGGATTCATTCATGCAGCACGATGTCCAGGAATTTTGCAGAGTGGTAAGCGTTATATTAGATACATATAAATATAATAAGTATGCATGATAACAATTTTTTTATACTGTCTTACCCTTTAAATGCTCTCATATGTTAAACTATAGAAATATATTCAATTTTAATATTTTTTTTCTTCTTCAAACAAAATTTCGCTGAAAGTTGCTCGATAAAATCGAATCCAAAATGAAAGGCAGTCTCGTCGAAGGGAAAATACCTAAATTATTTGAAGGAAAAATGATTGTGAGTATTAAATTAGTTTTTTTCTCTTTATATTGTGTAATTTCGTGATTTTTTTAAGATCTTGATGAATTTTTTTCAGTCATTCAGGCTTTATGGCCACTAATGAACCATGTTTACTAATTATTTTTTTTTCAAATCGGAAGAATTAAATAATTTATTAAAAAAAAATTAGATTTTTTTTTAAAACTATCATTATAAAAATAATTGAATTTTTACCAAATACACACCAATGCCATTTTTTATAGCTGATAGTACCATTACCAACCCGGTATCAGCTGATCACGATACCATGAGTATCAATCAGTATATCTCTGATTTTTATAATATATATATTTAAAATTTTTAAGTCTTATATCAAGTGTAAAAACGTCGATTATTGTTCATCCTGTATCGAAGCCTTCTACGACATCCAACTCAACGTTAAGGACATGAAAAATAGTATACAATCATCATCAATTTATTTTATATAGTATTAATGCGTATTGCAGTATATAAAATCAATTTGAGAAAGAAAAAAGTCGAAAGATTTTAAAATTAAATGACATTATTTATTAAATTAATAATAATAAAGAATTTAAAAAAATATAATTATTCTTTACTTGTGATATGATTCAACAATTTCAATTTTTTAAAATATTTTACTTAACTTATAAAATTGGCACATTCCAGTTTACGAATCGTTCAAACAATACATTAATCCCCAAACACTCGATGGGGAGAATAAATACGATGCTGGGGCCCATGGATTACAAGTTATATTTATAATAAATAAATTTTTTCTCTTGCAATGTCATATGGAACCTAAATATAAAATAAAAATTAAATTCTATTAGATGCAACCTTTGAAATTGGAATTTTATGCTTTTTGTTTATACAATATTATTTTTAAGAAAATTCAAAACAAAAAAAACTCCAGTTTTTTTCCAACTCCATTTATCCATTGGTTATAGGAACATATATAATTTAAATATCTATTGAAAATAAAGGAAGCGGAAAAGGGGGTTAAATTTGTGTCTTTCCCGCCCGTCTTACACCTACAACTTATGAGATACGAATACGACCCTACTCTCGATACCAACGTCAAAATTAACGACAGGTTTTATATACATTTTGGCCCACATGGGACTCTACAACGTTTATATTTTTTTTTGTCACTAAAAACATCTATTCGATCATTCTTAACCTGAACGATGATGACATATTTTTAATATGCTTCAAATTTAAAGGTTCGAATTTCCAGAAAAACTGATTTTGGAAGATTTTCTGGATAGACCTGAAATCTCGCCGGCAACTTACATACTTCACGCGGTTCTAGTCCACAGCGGCGATAATCATGGCGGCCATTACGTTGTCTACATAGATCCCAAAGCTAACGGAAAAGTCAATTTTTAAAAAAAATATAATAATAATGGTATAGGAGAGATAATGCATATTATATAAGTTAAGAAGATCATCAGAAAAATATGTGAAATATCATTTAGTTTTGGAAATAAAAGTTTCTTAGAACTATCATATAAAGCTCACGATTAAAAGGAAGTTTAAAAAAATTCGAAATATAAATAATACATTTACAGTGGTGCAAATTCGATGATGATGTGGTGTCCCGATGCGCGAAACGCGAGGCTATAGATAATAATTTTGGCGGATCAGACCCCGATATTGATCCGACTTCTCCTCTTCTCACCCTCCCCCAAAACCAACAGAATCCCAATTTAACTCACAACAATCCCATGGGCAACTCTATCCCGCCACCCCAGGCTCAATTAAACAGCAATACAAATAGGAACACGTCAAACGCCTACATGTTGGTTTATATAAGGGAGTCAGCTAAAGGTTTATTTATATTGTAGTAATTATTAACTAAAAATGGTCCTGTTTTTTTTAAATCACATATCTATATCAGACATTGATAATTAAATTAAAACCTAGTTTTGATCTGACTTCATAAGTTTGAGACATTTTATATTGGCTAAGAGTGTCTATAAGTGCTGATTAGGAATGATTTTCTAAATTATATGAATTAAGTTGGTAAATATGATTCATTTAATGCGATTAAGTTTCAAGCATTGATAGCAGATTTATTCCTCTACCCTCACTCCCTCCCAATTGCCTTATTGTTAAATACTTTATTTATTAACTTACTTTATTTATTAACTTACTTTATTTATTAACTTACTTTATTTATTAACTTACTTTATTTATTAACTTGAATTATTGTGCATTTGCAGATCACGTTCTCAGTCCTGTCACCGAAGCCGATATTCCTATATTACTAGTGGAGAGGTTGAAAGAGGAAAAGTAATTACCCATTTTCCTCCAAATAAACAATCTTATTAAACATTCCGAAATTTGTCATTTTTTATTCAAGAATTAAAAAGAAAAAAAGATTTATTTCCGTAAAAAAATATATATTGTTTAATTTTATCATATATAATGAATGATTAATTTACCATCTATCCATTTTCTCCCAATACGTTCTTGCATCCGAATTCCGGGGAAAAAATAATAACCGATTCCAGTTTTCCCTTAAATCAAAAAGGGAATCTGGTTGTGTTCTTATATTTAAGACTAGTTACGGTTTCTTTAATTTAACCCGGCCAACGAGGGTTTCTCATTCCATACTCTGAATTCACATATATTTATTGTTTATTTTGTTAGGAGAATCGAGATGATCAAACGGAAGGAGAAGAATGAAGCTCACTTGTATTTTAATGTTGACGTAAGTGTTTAAATATTTTTTATATAACTTCTCAATAAGTAATATATATTTAGAAATTTGTAGGAATGGTGGAAAAACAAATAAAGCGAATATGGAAAATATAATTATATTATTGCAAAATTTTTCATCAGCGGACATTTCAATTTTATCATTTTGTCTAATTGTGTTAATTTTTTTTTAAAATTAAAATTTTTTTTTTTCTCACACACTTGGATACATTATTAACGAACAATTATTATATCAGACCATATCATTCGTCTCGGCATAATAGATGAAGTAGTGTTATATATATTTCGGCTCGGTTTTGACCGATTTTTAAAAACAACGCAATATTTTATCTAGAAAAGTATTACGAGCCTAAAGATGTTGCTTATAGATGGCACAAGCGAAATCTCGAGGCTTAGGGATGCTTTTATGGCTAAAATATAAGGCAAATATGAATCCTTATCTAATTTATAAAAATATTTAAATTTATCCGAACTTGCCTATAAATAGAATTTGTCTAGTTGTTAAAAAAGGTTTCCTCAAAATAGTTGCTAGCCACCTCTTAGTGAAGGTGCGCACGGTTTGGTCCTTTAACCCCGACTTTTAAAGGATCACTTCGATCTTATCATGACCCATTATTGAACCATGGCCATAAATTAAATACCTCTCTTAAATATATTTAATTTTAGCCATTTTGTTCTCCGTGCTATATTGATGAAAAGCGGGAAATTTATCTTTTATTTTCAATTTTTTTTTTATGTTGGTACAGATTTTTTTCGAGGACAATTTTTACGGGCATAACGGCCACGATTTATTCGATCACATAAATCACGTCAAAAGGTAAAATTCTTTCCTTTTTTTTCTGTCATTTTAATGGGTCTGGGCGCAAACTAAGCAAAATGACAAACCATTTTACAGCCCTTAATTTAATGTCATTTTTAGACATTAAATATAAGTTCGTGTTGGCAGGCAAAAGCAGGCTCATCTGGCTTAGTTTGAGCTAGGTCACATGATATATAAATAATTCACCTTTTTCTTATTGGTTTCTAATATGAATAATTTAATGAAACAATTTTATTATTAATATTAACTATATTTTATAAAACGATCTCTAATTTCATTTTTTTTTTATTATAAAACCTGTTTAAAGGACATTCAAGAGTCGAAGGGAGAGTTATTTCAAAGATTTTATCAAAGATTTAGCTAATTACCTGGTAAAATATTTTTTATGCCTAACTAAATTCTAAAGCTCTGATTGATTTAACTTTTCGTAATCGAGAACGTATTATTCAAAATTGTAACTGTTATTAAAAAAAAAAGAAGAATTTGTTTTGTTTTCGTAAATTATATTATCGTCTGCCTTTTTATTTTCACGTATTTTCAAAATATTCCATTTTTAAAAAGGACAAGTGATTTATTTACAATTTATATCATATTAAATTTGATTTGCACCAATGACATTAATAATAGTGCGCACAAATTGAAGCGTTTTAAACGCTGCGTTGCAAAACGCAACATTTTAAATAAGTTCTCAAAAAAAAGGATTTGCCTTTTGAAAATTATATTATCGTCTGCGTTTTTATTTCTTTAATTTCCAAATATTCCTTTTTAGGATATAAGTAAGATATTTATATTACGTTTTATATAATATTTCACAGCAAATAATAATAAAAAGTAACGGAAAAGCAAACCTATTTGCGTTTTTTAAAATGGTTGCTAACGCCGCCAAACTCTAATTTTACCAATTTGCACGAGGTCATTTGAAATGCATTATTTGCGCTTGAAACGCTCAATTTGTGCGCACTATAATACCTAGACTGACGATGCTATAATAATGCACTTGGAAGAGTCTTTAAATGCATTTTGTAAAATGTATGCCAAGACCACGCGGAAGAAATATATTGTTTCTTGTTCAAATTAGACTCCTTTTTTTTACAACGTTTTATATAATGGATAGGAAAATGTTTATGCGAGTTGTCTTTTCGTAGAATTATTTTTTTTGAAATATGTAAGGAAAAAAAATCATCCATGTTGCTATACGATATATTTTTGATAAAAAAATATATTTTAAGAAATACGCTCCTGGTCAAATAAGGGTATGGCCCTTGTTCAAGCGTTCTAACAATACCATTCGTTTTACCAACATCGATCCATCTAACGAAAGTAAAAAGGTTTAAACTACAATTACACATAAATACAATATACATATTTTTAAATTTACTCTGTGGTAGTTTAAAAAAAACTAATCGAAATTTAAATCCACATATCATTTTCAAGGATATTAATATTAAATAATTTAACATAAATTAATAACTTGTAACTGTAACTAGTTACTTTTTAACTTTTAACGGTAACTAGTTAATTAACACTAGTTGCTAGTATATTTGGGTAATTGTTCCATTTTTTTAGCTGGCTAAACTTAGTTTGCATTTGAAGACAATCACATCAGATGCTTCTTTGATTTTAAAAAAAAAGAATCAACCGTTATTCTTAATTTATTAACATGTAGATTTAAAATAATTTGCGATTTATAAAAAGCTGTACGATTTTGTGGCGGGAGAAATATGGACCGTATTTTTGGAAACTGTAATCCCGGACGCGGATCAGCCCGTTCTGCCTCCTTTCGATAGTCTAAGTAATATTAATTAATTCGTTAATATAATTTGTTTTTGTCAAATGGACTAAAGTCACACTCTCCTATCTTCGGAGACTGTGCCGATGATAGATGAAGACCAGCTACGACCGTGATTCTAAAAATGGCTGATCATTGAATCGGTCTGGGTTTGGTTTAAGCCTATCCTAACATCTGTCCTATTAGACATTTAATTTATTTTATCAGTTACTCATTTATTAAGGCATCTTTTTTTTGAATGATATTTGTCTAATACATTGCAATTTTTTATATTTTTCATTATCTCATTTTTTTTAAAGCCCAAGTGTTACTTTTCCTAAAATTTTATGATCCCAAGCTTAAAATGATATATTATTGTGGTCACGCCTATGCCGATGTCAACAGGCCCTTAAGTATAACTCATTGTCATTCTCATTACATATTGTTTTTTTTTAAATTACTAATTTACAATCCTTAAAGGAAAAATTTGCAAACATATTAAGTATAATCGTCTTATATTGAGTTGGAAATTGATTATCATAAGCATATTATATATATTTATAGCTCCTTTTTTTTATAAAAATAAATTGAGGTTATTTCTATTAAAAACATTTTGAAACAACTACTATGGACTTTGGAAAATTAATTTTTGAATCTCGCACAGATCCAATCCCCTCGATTAACGGAATTATAGTTGTACATAATTCTAGTTCAATTTTTTTTTAGCTTTGATATGTTATCGGAAATTTAGTTTTAAGTTTATATTGAATTATTATATACTTTTTTAAATAAACCTATAATAGATGATTTAGCTCCCGTGATGAGACAGAGAGCTGGTTTGCCTGACAATACTCCCTTATTCTTTTACGAGGTATTTTTTTTATATAAAAATTATTATTCAATCATGTATTCGCAAATTAAATAATATAATATTTTGTTAATTTTTTTTTTGATATTTGCAATTTTTTTTTTTAAACTGAATTATTTAAAATATTTTTTTTTCATGGATTGATTGAACAAATGTTAACAAAATACAACTGATTTTTTTTATTACTTATTAAAAAAAATTCCTTTAAAATTATTTGACTTTTTACAAATGCCATTTTTTTTCCGTTTTTATTATACCAGGAAATATCTTACACGCAAACGTGCCCCATTCAAGAAGTGGACAAGCCCCTGGGTCGAGTCATTTCTGAACTAATGAACGGCGACATCATTGTCTTTCAAAAAGATTTACCCGATTTATCCATTTACCCTTTCCCTACACCCATGCACTATTTTAGGTATGTTCTTTTTTTCTTATTTCTCAAAAATGTAAAAGAATTATTTTATAATACAGATACTTGCAGTCAATTTTATGTTAAATAAGAAAGTATATTTTGGGTTTACTTCATTATTCAAGTTATTGATTGTGGATAGATGCTGATATTGGTGTCAAAAACTGTATTGACACTATTTTACATTTTGACGGCCTTTATATCAAAAATTATCCCACGTCATAATTTTACAAAATATCAGGTTAAAAAGAGTAATAGGCTGAGCTGGATAAAAATGGGGGCTGGATATGGATGTATGGGTATTTGATAAAATTTAGTATCGACATATCAGGTAGGGTAGACGAAGTTAAGAGGATAATAGGATGAAGTGGGAGATTAAGTACTGGGAAGTGAGATAGAAATTGCCAAATTTTTTAAAAATATATAATATAAATAGTTAACATAAAAGGAATGGTGGGAATAACATTTTAAATCATTTTATATTACCATTTAACTTTCGTTACGTTTTTCAGTGATATATATAACCACATCGATATGCAGTTCTGCGATAAAAATAAGATGAACGATCCCGGGTTTAAGCTTTCCATATCCACGCACATGCTATATCAAGAAGTATACATATTACATAATATTTATTTTATTTTTCTGAAATTTAGTAATATAGCCTAAAAAATATTTGATTCCATTTTCGAGATTTCTTAGACATTTATTGCTTAATATAAATTTTATGGAATTAACCTTAATTTTAAAATGATATTATTAGGCCATGCAATACGTAGCTAATTACATAGGAACCGACAAGAAGCTTCTACAATTTTTCACAACCAATCCGTAATATAATTTCTTCATATTTTATATAATGAAAAGAAGAAAGATTTGTTAATGTTTTTTTTTAAAATCTCGTCGCAATAAAGGTGTTATCGTTTTAGTGATTGGTTTATCGAATGAATTTGAATCAGGCGAGTAGTAAACATGTGTTCATAAAAATAATTTTTTAAAAGTGTATAATATATTACATTAATTATTATATATATTTTTTAAAAAAAAATGGAATTTATAGATATAGGGACACGCCTCAAAATCCCATAAAATCTTCGTTTTCTGGAAAATTCGGGGAAATATTTCAACAGACAAAAGCTCCCACTATTCACAAAATATTTTATCAGAAGGTAATATTATAAAAGGATGTTTTTTTTCGGGTCATATCTTGATCCAAATTAACAACTATTCATTTTTTTAAAAAAAATTACTTCTGTTTAGTTATTTTTTAAAAAATTTTTATTTATGCATTGTAAAGGTAGGTGCTAGAATACATAGAAAAATATATAAATTATAATGATTATTTGTCTAGTAATGTACATAAAGGTTTAAAAATAACGTATTATAACATTTTAGAATCACCCTTAGAGGTATGCAAAGGGATTTTTTCGCAGCCCTACCCGAGCCCGAATTTATTTTTGTCCAAACCCGACCCTAGCCCGAGGGCACATTATTTAGTTCGAGCCGAGCCCAAATAAACAATTTGAGTTTGATCATCGCCACCTTAAATAAAAATTTATTTTATCTAATCACTTTATATATATTAAGTTGTATTTTATTTAATTTTTTATAAAAGTTAAAATAAATCGAATTTAAAAATTAGAGGCTTCGAATGTAGATGATATAACAGTTATAGAGACTAAAAAATATAATAATGAACATTATAATGATATATAAATAATGATCAGTCCAATTTATCTGGTTTTAAACAAGTCCCTTTCTCTCCAAAAGCCCTACCAGCAGCTGAAAACGCTCTTTTAGCCGACGAAACAGGGATCATTAGGAATCTAAAAGCCAAAATATTTAAATTTGGTAAGTCATTACGGTTTGTCTTCCACCATTTAAAAAAACGTTTTTTTTTCTCTTTAGCTTTCACCTTTTCTGGTGGTAAGCTCCTTCAACATCTCTCTCCACTTTATGTTATTCATACAATCTCTTTTATCTAATTTATACTTCTTCATATTGACTCTAACTATATGGCCCCATTGAAGTTTTGGCCTTCCACTTTTACGTTTGCCCATCACTTCCAAACTCTCAACCTTATTTAAAATATTATCTTAAATATATGATTTAGCCTCTAGGTTTTTTTGAAGTTCGTCAGCTTCAACGCTAGCATCAAAAAACACCTTGTCAACCTCCCATATAGAGAAATCCAAAAACGTATCTGCCTCAGTATTTTCTTGAGAAAAAAAATATCCATAATATAATAGTAATTTTAAAAGATATATATTTACTTTATTATTTCTTAATTCATAATTTTATTATTAATTTAATGAACCTTTATTCACTACTCGTTCAGTTGAATAGGAGCTAGATCGTGAGTTGGTGTTTATAGTTTTTTGTCCAATCATATCTTTGCTGATCTCCTAGGCATGTTGGCACAAATCTTTAATGTTCTCGGGATAACATTTTCATATCCCGAAATTTTTGGCACAAAAAATGTCGAAATTTAGGCGGAATATATCTATTTGAAATTTATCCACCATTATTTCTTGTCATTTTTGCGACAGCTGGTTAAGCTGCGAGTTTAAGTTTGGATGAGCTAAATAACTCAATATTATGTGATAACACAATATAACTTTGTGAATGGTGGGTTTAAATCACCTTCATCACTCGCAATTTTTAAAGGCATCAGAAACTTGATAAGGTCTCTTATCAATTCATAATCTATATTTTCGAGCATAATCGACTCACCTCTAGAATTGAGAATCTCCAATATTTTATTGAATTGATTAAAAATCGATTCAATCATCATTCTGCTATTCCATCTAGTCTCAATGCACAAATGAAGTGCCTTATCAAAGTGATTAACTAATCAAAAATTTAATGCTACAATTTAATAAAAGTTGATTTAGCATACCCATTCTGTTTCATATAAGTAACTAAACTTTTACAATCATCAAAACATTGATATATCTGGACCTTGAAATTCTATATTTTTTTACTAAAGGTATTCCTTAATACTGTATTTAAAAGAAGAGAAGCACAATTCAATCGTTTACGATTTTCAAATGCTTTAATTAAATTAGTTCATTGGTCTATCAGATAAATATGGCCTACAGAATCCTGATATACAATGATTTTTATAATAATTTTTAATAAAATCAATACCTAAATACGGTGAAATTTGTAATAATTTCCTTTTTTAATATTTTCACCCTTATTTTTTTTCTTCTTCAAACTTGCATGTAAACATTACAACTTTATTAAGTTTCTAAGAATCGTCTAAAAAATGAATAATAAGAGTTACATAGGATACTTTCTCATAATCATCAGTCCAGAGGTCTATGGTGGCTATAAAAAATTATGAATAATTTAACCATATTTTCATATTACCAGCACATAGACCCTATATGCGTTTAATATTGCATATACGATCAGCAGTATCTATTAAATTTCTAGTGATTGTCGTGGAATTTAGAATGATGCTTTTAACATCGATATTTCCATATGTTTGAGCCAATTTTGGCAACAATCAACAAAGCCTTCCCTATGAATTCTTACAAGTGATCTTAAATCACGTCCCAAATCATGGTAATTACTTTTGAACACGCTTTTTAAAAGGCTAACAATTGTTAATTGAGTCTTTATACTCTCCATTGTAAATACAGATTTATTCCTTTTTAGTTGATTAATGACTGAAATTATTTATTAATATATATTTATTGTATAAATAATATTAACCTTTTGTTATGGGATTATAAACGTGTATATATTTGCAAAAATTGCAACTCACATAATTAAGTTTTCTTTATTGTTATCTTATATAAATGAAAACTTTTTCTAGGCCTCAGAGCCATTGACATTTTCCCTTACTTCATATTCATTGCTTTTAATCTTTTCACCAATTTTTTTAATTTGGCATCCATTAAAATAATTTTTTAAATATAAAAATATGAAGCTATTTATAGATATTAGTAAAAAAATTTTTATTAAACTGAATATGATGAAAGTAAAGTATGTAATAATATTGTTTTTTTAACTATATAATTCAATTCAAAATATAATCACATATATGGTTATGTAATAATAAAATAATTGAAAATGACATGTTATTCTGATTGACATTTTAAGGAAAAAATGTGATAAATAAAAAATGATATGGTTTTATATAGTGGTGTTTCAAAAGCCCTATAAGGTCGATTTTAAAAAACAGCCCGATTAAGATTATAACCAAAATAACATTATATAAACCTAAAGATTTTGCTCATAGCTGGCAAAAATGCTTAGACATCTATTTCCCAAATCTCAATGTTTGTATAATTAGGATATTTATATTAATATTTATTTTTCGGGTCAAACAGCTCCTACAACTTGACCCGAACCCGAAATTTTTTTAATGTAATAACCTGACTCTATTTTTGGTGTCTGGACGGGATAAGGACTGTGCCCGTGCAGTTCTCCCCCCTCCGTATATATATTAATATATGCTTTAAAAATTTAATTAGCTTTGCATGCCCTTGGATGAGCTTGAAGCCAAAAATCAATACAAATGCGTTTGGGTTGACAGTCATTACAAGGAGGAGAAAGAGCTGGTTGTGTACGTCAACAAATCGGCCACAGTGGCGGACCTATTGCAAGACGCCCGTAAAAAAATACTCGCCTCCTTCCGGTCCGCTATTTTACTTAACAGTAATCATATTTGCCTCGGCGGGGTTGCAAGGGATAATTCCCCTTCCAGGTTTTGAATTCGTTATATAAAATGATTATTAAATTATCGAATAAAATGGTTACTAAATGTATATATATTGAAATTATTGCTGAGGAAATCATCATTTTTGGCCATGGTATCCATTGCTGTGAGATGTATATTTTCGATGTTGTAAGATTATGATTAAATGAATCAAAGAAATAGTTTTGTATACAGTTGTCTTGGTTTTCCACGTTTGAGACCCTGTTTTAATCCTTGTTATTTGAGCAAGGAATCTGAGGTTACATCTTTCAACAGGATTATTGATTTTGAATTTTCTCATCATACATGTAATGTATCAATGCAACATTACAGAAAATCATCATGAATAGAGGAAATTTTACCCATGTTTTGCAAGAGTATTTATTGTTAAACAACTCGTATCAAGGCTTTTAAGCCTCTTAAAGGCCTATTCTATATTTACAGTGTAGGAATCTAGTTGTACCTGAAATCAGTTACAAATTCTATAGTGTTTGGTAGTAGAACTTGATTTGTGTAGATTTTCTTTTTTGGAATATTTATTTCCTGTTTTACTAAATTAAGCACCTCAGAAAGCGTATTTAATTGGAAGATTATGTGTGTTTGTTAGAGTGAATTTCTTAAAGGATGATCAGGATGCATAGAAAATGAGCCGGAAATTTTCATAGTTCATATTAGTGTGGCCCCGAACCAAATTTTAATAAATAAATGTTATTTACTTAATATTTTTTGTCAGGAATTCAAATTAACGAATATCGAATTAGGTTCAGATAAATATAACTGTTCAGGTTCGATTCGTGAAAAAATTATAATATCGGTTCGGTCTGAACCTTTAATAACCGGGTTAGTTTTTTTTAGCATATACAAGCATATTAAAATTATGTAAAGTGAACATCCTTATTAAAAGTTTATCATCATTCTCTAAAAAATAATGTTGAGGCGTATACAATTAAAATATTTTCAAGATTCTCTTCTATCAAATTATATCCAATAAGGAAGAAAGAAATTTATGACTGAGAACTATAGTTGGGTAATTAGTATTTTTTTTACGGTTTCAGCCAATTTTTAGTCGGCTATAAAAATCGGATAAACCGTGTAAAACCATCACTTTTGCTTTGGGGTTTTTCTTAAATAAATTGAAGATAAAAATCGGATAAACCGTGTAAAACCATCACTTTTGCTTTGGGGTTTTTCTTAAATAAATTGAAGTTCAAATGTGAAAGCAACTTATAGAAAATAAAACGCCTTAATGTTAACGCATTTTCTTCGGCACACGCCCGTAGAATTGAGCAGAATTAGCCGACATTTAGCTTATTACCCTACTATACTGAGAGCACTTCTATAGACTAACTTGGGTAGCTTCAAATAGCAATATATAAAAATATCTAAGAATAATTAGTGATAGTTATTAGTCAAAACTGATTATTATTCATATAAAAGAGTTTAAAATATCAAAAGATTCAAACCGGCTCACGGCATTTTAGAAGTTCGGTTCATGTTTGTGTGCAAATTTTTAACGGTTCGGGTTTCTGTAAATAATACCGGTGTAACAGTTCGGTTCAGTCTTGATTTGAATTACTCATTTTTATATCCTATTTTTTTAAAAAAAAATTAATTCTTTACTTAAGTAATTGAATAAATTTTAGTTAGGGATATTATTTTAGTTAATATGATGTAAGAAAATAAGAGATAATATACAAGAATTATAATACCAGCAATTTTTTTTTAAAAATATCATCCTCATCACCTATTCCCTTTCCCCTTAATCCAATCTTTAGGTTAAATCGTTCGGGCAGCCCTAATATCCAAAATTCTCAACACAATCTGATGGATGATCAAAGCAGTGGTAACGTCAATTGCATTAATTGCACTGCCGGACTCGATTTTTTTGACTCACCCGATCCCATCAAAGAACTAAAATTAAGGTTTGACATTATCTATTACGTTTCAATGTTACTTATTTTTATTAGGACTTAATTAGCTTGATTTCAAATGTAAATTCAGTAATTAATTATTGCAATTTCATCAACAACTTATCGTTATCGATGATTACCTAAAACTATTCATTTGAAACAGGGTCGTAGATATACAAAGCTTCAAAACGGCCACTGTCCTTAAAAACGAACTCAAGCTAGAAAATTTGATACCCCCGTCCTCGAACACGGCTCTAGATCAACACCAATTTAAATCGTCAAGCATGAGCGTGGCAAACCCCATGTCCTACGAAATGGGCAACCCGATCATGGGAACCGGCCTTAATTTGCAAGCCCCGCTACTGAGAATCGAGGAAATACCTCGCGATCAAAAAGAGATTGGGCCAGATGAAATGCTCGTTCCTTGTACCCATTTTTTTAGAGTAAGGATTACGATGTTTATATCACACCTGACTTACGACCTAAGATTTTTGACACCGTTCCGAAGGGGTGATAGGAATGAGAGGGAGGGGACGAGGGTTAGGTTGTGAAGTTTGTATTTTCTTTTGTTTGTTTGAACAGAAAATTTTTATAATATTGTGTACTAGATTTTATTCCTAGCATTTTTATAATTGTTTATTTATTTTTTTTGTATTTTGGTTCGGCATGTTTATTGCTTGGAAAACAAATTAACCACATTTAATTAATTTTACATTGTTTTTAAATTTTTATTATAATATCATTTCATATACTAATTTACTATAAAATATTATGATATATTTTTTTTTCTAATATAACAGGACATTGTCAATACATTCGGTATACCATTTTTCGTCAAAGTTAAAAACGTGAGGATATTTTAAAAAAATTTAAATTTACTCGTCATTTACAAGTGCTTTACTTTTATGATGCTTGAATTACTTTAAATTTTATATTATTAGTGTACATTAAATTGATTTTTAGTTTAAAAAAAATAAATATAGATGGAAGCTTGTTGATATAATGTCAGTTAGCTTATTTCGATAGATAGTTATTTCGACTTTATCCTTCTATTTTTCAAATATATATACACCTCTCTTCTAACATTATAATATATTTTTTTTATAAAGGATGAACACTTCGAAGCTATAAAGTCCCGGATTCAAAATCGATTAGATATCTCTGACAAAGAATACGAAAAATACAAATTTTACTTCATTTCGCAAGGAAGGGTTAACGAAGTCACGCCCGAATATAGGATCCCTTTAACCGACCTTAAAACAGCCAAGGATGGTTTTGCATTATCTCCTTTTTTAAAAAAATAGATACATTATAACAATTGTTATGATGAGGTTTGCTTAAGTTTTAAATTTAAAATAGACTATGGGATAAGCATAATTTTCCTCTCACTTTATTTTAATTTTGATACCAGTTTAAATTCTTATTCCGAAATTTATAAGTTCTATCATTCCTCTTACTTTTTTATTTTCAGGGTTATTAGATTGGATATGATGCTATTATTCTAAATATAAATTTGAATAGTTGTATTTGAAGCATTCCTTACATTAATTTTAGTATAAACACGTGCCTTGTCATACATAATTAATAAGTTTTTGGGAGGTTATTATATTTGATTTTTCAATCAATGAAAACTGGCATTATTCAATTATATTTTCGAGTATTTTAAGTCTTATAAAATCGACAATTTTTTTAAAAAAATTCTTTTAATTGATACGAAAACTAGCATTGGTTGACACTTCATGCCTAACCATCATTACAATAGTCACCTAGTTGGTATAGTGCAACATTTTAAAATAATTTGTTGGTCGAGTTTGATTCCCGTTAACACCATACCTGAAACTAGAGGCCTGAAATGGACCGTTTTTGTTTTAAAAAGGCTTAATCCGCTCGCCCAATCCCCAATGTTTTTTTAATATTCACTATTGTTTTGTTTGGCTCTTTATTTTATTTTGATCTATTTTTTACTTAAACGTATAAAGTATTTAATTTGTAATTAAAAAAAATGATCTGTAATAAATATCATTTCAACCTAAAATATTTCAAATTTCCCCACCCATTGTTCTAAAAAGTATTTTTTAATCTGCTCGCTCATATGTTTATAATTTTTTCACTCGCTCGACACGCCCACAGAATGGACGGGCAGGCTAAAAACTGCCAATTGCAGACCTCTATCGGAAACTACCCTGGCTTAAAAAAATTTCTTCAGTTTACCATAATTTAGCCAGGGTAAAAATTAGATTTATTATTTATTTATAGGGTTTTTTAGTTACAATATCATTTTCCCAATTTAGTTAACACCGTTATGAGGTGTGTTTTTAAGAAAAAGTGACTTGACTGGGAAAAACCTTATATACAACTTTATTTATCACATAAAAACGAATGTTTAAAAATATAGTTTGGATAGGTATGGAACACATGAACAAAATAGCCAAGCAAACGAGATCCAATTACATGGAAAAGCCTATAAAAATTCATAATTAATTTATAAATTACAAGCATATTCCCTTATAGCTATTTTTTTTATCTGAAAAAGAAAACCCTATTAATATGAGGTATTGAATTCCCCTATAATTAATTTTATTCAGATTCGATTTGTTATTATTTGCTGCAAAGTTAAATAGTCTAATTCAAACCCTTTTAATTTCCGCCCTGTTTCTTAAGATAATTCCCATTATTTTACAATTACTTCCTTGACACGTTAGCGTTTCTTTGTATGAATACCGACTGACTACATATAATTTTCTAGCAATGATTTCCCTATTTATATATTATAAATCTCCCAATAAATTATATTACAAACATATACACATATTTATAACGATGTCATGCTTAATTAATAGGCTATATTATTTTTATATAAATATCTTTATTGTAACTATTAATATTAAAACAGTAGTGTTGTCAGTCCTACAAAGATACATTAATATTAAAACAGTTAGTTTTGTCAGTCCTACAAAAATATATATAACCATATCTCCCGCCCCCTATCATAAAAAAAAATCATATATTTATAAGAGATTTGTTTCGTATCAACTTTTGATATTAGCAATTTGTAAATAATTTTTTATATTTCTTTATTTAAAAGGCATTTTATGTCAAAAAAATTATTATCTCCTTTTTATTATAGTAATGGCCATAATTTTTAATAGCATTCATTCATTTATTGATTATAACAAAAATTTGCCAAACCTCCGATGGATGTTAAGTTATATTTTATTTTTGCTGGCTTAGGCGTTTAATAAAAGAAATTTATAATAAAATGTGTTTACTTTTAGTATATTCTTTTGTACCTGTTGTAAATTTTTTTTTTTAAATTTAATTATTTTATCGATAAAATTTATTCGCTATAAAACATTGTATTTAAAAGGATTTAAGAAATAAAATATAAATTAAGAATGATTATTAAATGTTTTGTAGTTTTTATATATATAATAAATAAATTTTATACTTTTCAAACTTTATTTATGATGCAAATTTTACGATTTCATTATTTTATTTTCTCCACGTCCAATAATATGTTTTTTAAATTATTTTATCGAAACGAAAATAATATATATTTATCAATGATTTAAAAAGATAGGAAAAAGAACCTAGTAAAACCCCAAACGATTTAAAAAAAAGGTTAGATATTATATTTTTTTTATAGAGCGACACAAATCTAATCAATAGTATTTTGGTAACAAGAAAGCAAAAAAAATTTGAAGTCTAAATTGACATTCGAATACAGTATTAAACCGCTTATCCTGCTTTTAGAATTATTTCGGGCTGTCCCCAAAAATTCTTTTCAAATATTTATAGTTTATAACCTTTCTGGCTTTAGAGAATTTTAAAACTATTTAACATTCGAGGTAATTAAATGATAATTAATCCTGCGCCTAAAAGCTGCTCGTTAGAAATAATGTAATAAGATGTAAATTGGCCAACATTACAAATGTAATTGTACTTGTCATATTCCTTTTTTATTTTTGAATGTGCCTTGATTTTACATTAATTTGTTCAAAACTGAAAATTCGATATTTATTGCTTGAAAACTCAGGTAAACTTCTATAATAAGTTTGACGATTTTCTTTTTATGAAATCAATCTCATCTAAACTGGTAGATTAGGATAAAGTATTATTTTTTTAAAAAATAGGGTATTCTTCCTTTCCATGACATTTTCATAAATGTTCAGGAGGAACAAGAATTTTTTTAAAATAAATCCTATTTACAGTTAACCTGTAATATTCAATTTTATAATATTTTTTAAATTCATTCTATAATTATTGCATTAACAGTCTTGTTATGATTCACATTCAATATTACATATATTTTTAATCAATTTTCCTGTTGATTTCTATTTTTCCTATGAATTTCGAAGAATCCTTGCATATTATGAGCGCGTTTAATTGCTGATCCAGTTTTTCCATTGAGTCTGATTAATTTCTTATATTTTCTAGCAAGTTATTTGACAAGGAGCCAGCGGTTAGCGGAAATTTGAGGTCTGTTTCTATCTAAAAATCGTTAGCTTGGTATATGGCCGATATTTTCCTCATTTAAATATTTTTTAGTTTATATTCTAATTTGAGCAGAATTATAGTTTAACAAAGTTTTAATAAAAAACGAGGCTAAAAAGAATGTCCCAACTCCCAGGCTTAACTGGGAGGCAGTTGATCCACCAAACAGTTTTTTTTTACAAAAATTAACAACGCCTTTTAGAAATTTGGATTGGTTCAAACAGCCATTTCACTAGAAGATACTAAAACAGTGTAGACCACATATATGCCGTGGTGCAGATATATGATCAAGCCTTTAATATACTTTTAGAGTATCTACTTGTCTCAAAAATTGCCTCTATACTTCTTTGCAAACAACTCCTAGGGAGAGTTTTAAATGATCAAACGTTACTAAGTGAAACCACGCTTCATCATTTAGAATTCTTTTTCCTTGAACATCATATCAAAGTTTATGTCTATCTATTGATTATAAAACTTTTCATTATTGTAATAAATTCAGGCTGTTCAACTAGGCTCAATGGGTGTATACCTTGACAATAAATGTACACATCAACATCAATTTTATTTTGTATAATTATTAGTTTTATTTTATTGATGGCATTAACGGTCAATAGGTTGTATCATTTTTTTTGTGGTAGAGTTTGCTGCTTATCTTTTCTGCTTTAGATATAATTTATATTAAATATAAATGCCTAAAAAACATCTCTACCTTTTAAAAAAAAAATATATAATTATGTTATAACATAAAATTGTCGTATCGATAATTAGTATAACAAAATTTGAAGTTTAGCCCTTTATCTTATAAATTAAAAGGTATTACATAAAATTGAACACAAAGGGCGAGTAATTCTTTTATAAATGGATCATAATTAATTATTAAAAAGATAAGAATTATTTTAAATTTTTATATAGTGTAGGAAATTTCAAATAAAATCATATAATTCCCGGCCGCAGGACTGGTAAAAGCCGGCCCTAGCCCGCAAGGGGGATTTGGGAAGTAAAGCCCCCCAACTATGGGGCCTCTTTGAGAAATCTTCCCACGGGGTCTTTAGTCTCCCAGTCCGCCCCTGTATGTTTAATCGCCTATATAGCTTCCTCTAAACAACCTTAAAAGAGAGGTGATTTAGATTTTTAGAATCCAATGTACAAAATGCTTTAAAAAATCTAGAATAGGGTATCATAGTTCTAAAGGCTGAATAACATAGGCTAAGCCGAAATAAATTTTAAAAATAATCCGCGTTGGACACTTCCAAAGTTTAATTTTTCGGTCTATTTTAATTTATGAGCATATTAAAATTAAAAAAGTTGTCACAATTTTTCTATTCTTTTTTAAATTTTTCTTAAGTTTATAATGCGTGTTATCTTTTCTAAGATTCTTTTCACTTTATACAAATTTCAAATTATGAAACGACAAAAATCTATAATTCATTATAATAGTTAATATAGGTTTAACATATTTTTAAGGAGGGTGGGAGGCGCCTAATCTTGTGAATTTGCCTAGGAATTTAATCTTAAGAAAAAAAAATTTATCCAACTTTTAGTATAATTTTTGCTAAATTTTTTTATATTTTCTTTTTTAAATCTTAGCATTATTCTGTTATACTTCGGCAAGATTGAGTAGAATATTTATTCTTGCTATTTCAGTTTTTATTTGAGCATTATGAAATATATTCCTAGCATTCAATATTTTTTCTGTTCTCAAATTTTTTAAGAATATTATATTCTTATCATTTAAATTTTTTTGTCAACATATTTTTTTAAAAATAATTTTTGAACATATTGCTTTACATTTTTTTTAATAATTAATCAGTTTTACTATTTAATTTATGTTTTTTACGATATATATGCATTAGATATATGTTTCAAAAAAGTAAATTTGAACGATAAATTTCTAATCTAATGTTCTGGCGAATATAGAAATCTACTTTAGGATCATCCGTGAGATGAGTAATTTATCTCCTTAAGGGAGGTGAATGCCTCTCCAAAGTCTCCAAGCGTTGATTTGATATAAGGAAAGAATTTAGTTTTATTCAGCTTACTTTCTTTTATTTTATATCACCACCGAAAGTGAGTTTTCTTTTTTTTAAATTTAAAAATAACATACATTTCATTGTAAATGTTTGTGCCAGGATAAAATACTGGCTCAAATTTTTTAAAAAAAAATTAAGTGGGAATAAAATAGGAGAAATTTATTATTATTATTTTTCTATTTAGAATATATACTTTATATTTAATTTGAGTTTTGTACGAATGAAATAATTGTATATTTATTATTTTCACTACTATATTATTTCAATTAATTTATTTAACGAAAACATTTTTTGTGAAAGGCTATTTCTTCATTATTTTAATTTTATTATTCTAATACTTTTATATATTTTAATTTAAAAATACTATATATATGGCATGATTATTGTTAATTTCATTTATTTTTATTTTTTTTTGAAATAAACTATAGATGTTTGAAATAAAATATATAAAAATTTAAAAAAAGATAACGACTAAGTACAGAAAAATAAAAAATTCGATATAAAATCAGATTCAGAACATATTTTCTGTTATCGCCAAAACTTGCTCAGGTGTAAATTGTTAATTTCGATAAATAGCCCAAATTTAGAAAAGTTAAAATTAATTTGATATAAAATTACTAAAAAAAACTATATAAATTTTATTTTTTTACAAGCTTTTATTAGGGATGCTTGATCTTAGGTTAAGAGACGTTAAAAAAATATAATTTTGATGTGAAAGATGAATATATTATTTAGAATATTTTTTATTTAAACAAAACAATATTTCATGTAATCAAATCCCCCAAAATGTTATGATTTTAATTTAAAAATATATATGCAAATAATACAATCAAGTAATTCCTGGTTTATTGAGGAGTCACTAATATTGAATTAAAGCGAATGTTCACTACATGGTGATTTTCAACTGAGAGCGCATGCAAATGAGATTTGTTATACAAAACAGAATCACTAATATTTTTTAATTCGAGTTCTAGAATATAAGCATCACAGTTGTATTTGGCTTTTATCCTAATATTTCCCAATTTAATTCCCAACGGCTGAAAACACTGGTCTTGTCTTAGGAATCTATTAGCATGTGATATCGTTGCAATCTTTGTTATCATGTTCACCGTCACATTTTCCGTTCCTTATATAAAATATAAAATTAATCCTTTATTATTTATGGTTTACAAACGTTAAAAAATAAATTGTGATAAGGGAGCATATTATCTTATTCTTAAATTGAATATTATTATTTTAGTAATCTAAGGCCTAGCTTATAATAACCACGAAAATAGAGCAAAATCACGCTGGATTACAACTATAGAATGTTATATATAAATATATATCCATGCCATCGTTTAGAAATGAAAGCACCCATCACTTGACTATTATCATGGCTAATATAAGCAAGGTGTAAGGCTTGGCTCAAATTAAGCAAAAATCAATAAAATTTTATAAAAATATATAACCAAAAAATCGAAAAATTGCATATATTGCTGGCATAGATAGTTAAATATTATATAGAATATTGCTTATTTAATTGCCAAAGTTAGTCAAATTTTTAAATATTTTTTACAATGAAAAAAAAACTTCTTTAGATATTTTATATTCAACATTTAGTAAATATAAAAATGATTATAGATCTCGGGCTTATAATCTTTTATCATATGAAATAGATTGGTTTAATGCAATTTTGTAACTATTTTTTATGATTTATTTTTTAATTATTTTTATAGT